TTGATTTATTTGATTTTTATAACCTTTTATCTCTTCTATCGGACTGCGTGGCTACTTAGCTTACAAAGAACCTGAAACCAGGCTAACTAAAATGCAAATTGTTCGAGATAAGGGTGTTTATTGTGAAAAGATTTTTGAGAGATTTTTCTTTTATTTTTCTATTGTATGATTATGTTATGCAATAAACAAATGCACACACAATTCACTCATTCGCGAACAGTGAGACGACGTTTTTATCACGAGGTAGGAGTATCTTGTAGAAGAGTGCGTATTCAAGGTAGTTTTAAATATTCTCACCAAGGCCAGACCCCCAAGGTGCCCCCATTATAGGGTTCCCACTCTCTCAGCCTTCAGACCATGCATGACACTAGGGCCTTGTCGGTCTTTAGGTCAAAAGAGGAAGGTTATCACCTTGAGTGGTGGTTTCCGACCATTCCGGTAGGCTCATGGCCCTCACTACGGCAAATCGTACAATGCCACCCACTCTCTAAGGTTTTCCCACTTGCCCCCGGGTATAAAAGAAACTGTTGTGTGCAAGGGTTTGTGTACAGTTGTTATTTCAAACAATTGCATAAAATAAACATACAACGGTTATTAAAGTCAAGCAATAAATCATGTTATAAAAGAAAGGAAGGGTAAAAGCGTGATTTTAAGTTTTTATTTCTCAAACTAGTTCATCACTAAATGGGATCAACTCTCTAGCTTCCCTAGTGGAGTCGTCATTTGTCGCCGCCATCAAAAGAGGCAGTCGGAGCGACGCGATGATTTTGATGATGACTCGCATTTTTTAAAGTGTGGTCATCACCTTAAGATGTCCGATAACCGAACTATCCTAAAGATTAGGTTTTCATAAATGGGTTCTGGAGTCGCCACCAATATTTTTACCAAAAACATTGGAAAAGGAAGAAAATGCGATGGTTTTTAAGAAAAATCAACTTTGGTCATTACAACCAGAGTTAGGTAAGGGAGTTAGTTACGTGTGGGGAAGGTATTAGCTTCCCCATGACGCCCCTTTCGGGTTCCTTATGATGAACTGTTTTTGTAAAGAAATAAGAACATTAAAACTACGTTTTACCCTTATTTATTCATTGAAAATTTTAAATTATTTACTACATGACCCTTAATAACTAATGCACAGAGATAGTAACTAATAAAAGCGATAAAATAGAGTAAGAGATATGAAAGAACCTTCGAAGCAAGTTTTTCTATAAAATGCTCTTGAAAAGGGCACTTTTTGGCAAACCCCACGCTCTACAATGCATCTCACTCTTCTCTCGAAACACTTTAGAATGTTTTTTAAGAACTCTAAGACTCTAAAAATTCTTCAGAGGGATTCTAAAAGAGTATTTTAAGATATATCGAGTTGGAGAAGTTGTAGAAAACGAGGAGAAGACCCCCCCTTTTTATAGAAATCCGCACCTGTCAGGTCGGGACCGTCGTCTCGACTTTCGGGACCGCCTCTCACCTTTGGCAAATGGCGAGACGGCGGTCTTGCCAAACAAGATGGTGGTCTCACCTTTGGCAAGTGGCAAGACGGCGGTCTGGCCCTTAGCCAAGGGTGAGACGGCGGTCTCGACCCTTGGGTGGAATTTTTTATTTTTTGTGTACAAAAAGTCTTCCTATTCTAATATAGGGCCTATTGATCAATCCTAAGGACCTTTAAGGCCTTGTTCATCTTCAAACGGAAGTCTTATGCTCTTTATTTTGAGGTCGAACAAGATTTGGGGTCTACAGTATCTAAGTATGTCAATATCATATTCATATTCTTTACATGATGCACATGCTATTTGTTTATTTTCTTTTTCTTCCAAAGTCACTATTTTTTATTTTAAAGATTCTACTTCTTTTTTCGATTTATTCAAATTCTTTTTCAAAGATTTATATTCGGTTTTCAAATCTTTAAAAGCAATAAATAGTTCTTGATATGCATTATGCAAAGCATCATAGCCATTCTCATCATCACTTGAAGAACAGTCGGAATCACTTACCTCACAATCAGAAGAAATACTATCATTTGTCATCAAGCAAAGATTTGCTTCAACCTCTGAATCGCTTGACTCCAAATTTGAGTCACTATCATCCCAAGCTATATAAGCTTTCTTTTTAAAGGATTTCTTTCCTTTATGATCATCACTCTTCTTGTTAGGACATTCAGATTTCACATGTCCTATTTCACCACAACCATAACATTTAAAGTTTAATGAAGATACTTCTTTCTCATTCTTCTTACCTTTGAATGATTGTCTTCCTTTGGATTTCATGAATTTGGTGAACTTTTTAATCATGAGGCTCAAGTTTTCATCCTCTTCACTATCAGAACTTTCTTCTTCCTTCTTTTTCTTGTTTTTAGAAACTTTAGTTTTGAAAGCTAGGTTTCTCTTTTGATGTTGACCTTCTTCATCGTTTAGCCTTCCAAATTCAAGTTCATGCTCTCTCAACTTTCCAAAGAGACCCGTCATAGTCATAGTAGCAAGATTTTGTGACTCCGTGATGGCAATCGCCTTTGGTTGTCATTTCTTGTCCAAAGATTTGAGAATTTTTACATTTAATTCGTTAGTGTCAAAAGTCTTACCAAGCCCGGTGAGATGGTTCACAATATGTGTGAAACGCTTTTGAACGTCAAAAATCAATTCTCCCGGTTACATTCTAAACATTTCATACTCTTGAATCAATGAGTTCTTCCGTGCTCTTTTTACATCATCGGTTCTTCATGGGTTACTCTTCATATTTCTCACATCTCTTGAGCACTCTTGCAAATGGATATCCTGTAAAACTCATCAAGAGTCAAAACAGACGAAATTATATTCCTAGCCCTAACATCATATTGAGCTTTTTTATTTTCTTCTGCAGTCCATCTAGAAAATGGTTTAGGTACCTCTACTTCATTTTCAGTTATTTTTAGAATAAAAGGACCATTTAAAACAGCATCCCAAACACCCCTGTCAACATACTCTAAAAACATTTGCATTCTAACTTTCCAAAAGGGATAATTTTGTCCCGCAAAAAATGGGGGTCTGTTAATAAAGCACCATCGGCAAAAGTTTGATTTTATCCGGCCATTTTCGAAATTTTTGAAGAACTATCAAAGCAAGCTCTGATATCACTTGTTGGTATCGCACAACGGAATGTTTGCGTTTGCGGACAAAACCAAGAGGGGAGGTGAATTGGTTTAGAATAAAAATTAGGGTTTTTAAAATTTTTCCCAAATTTTACCTATTAAAATACTTGTAAAGTAAAGAGAGAAAGAATAAGAAGATTACACAAGTGTTTTATACTGATTCAGATCAAAAGACCCTACGTCCAGTTTCTAATCACTCTAAAAGAGGATTAATGTTGTCACTATAATCACAGTTCAAACAGATTACAAATACAAATATAAAGATTAGAAAACACATCTCTTGAGTCACACAAGAGATGAACACCTCCTTTGAATCCACAAAATATGAACAACAGTTTTTCCTAGAGACGGCACAACACACAATCTACCAAGAGTTTCACTCAGTGATTCTTATCGCTTCTAGCCCACACTAGGTCTAAAAATCCCCTTTTTCTTCCCTACACAAAGTTCTCTAGCAATCATAACTCTTAACTTTTGTATAAAAAATATTATTAGTTCAAAGAGCCTTAGAGAACCTTAAGTAGAGAGATTTAGGATATGGGGAATAGAAGTTTTCGAAAATAGGAGTATTAGAAACAGGTGCATCGAAAATAGGTCCAAATTCAAAATTCAAAAATCATAACAAACGTAGATAATCAATTATCTTAAGTGATAATCGATTATCATAGAGTCATTTTAGCAGAGAAGTAAACTGGACCAGGATAACTGATTATCCTCTGAGATAATCGATTATTCCAACAAACTTTTCAAAAAAACAGATTTTAATCAGGATAATCGATTATCACAGAGTGATTTTAATAAAATGAACTTTCAGAGGAAGAACTATATGTTGGTTATCTTGGACTCTAATCTTACAAACTCAAAAAGATAAAACAGAGTTATTACAAGTAAATACAAATAATTATAAGTTTTCAAAACTTCAAGTCCTTGTTCTTAAATCATCATCAAAATCATTAAGTATTATATCCTTATATGTTCAACATAAACTACTATTAAGAAAGACTTCTTAATTTTAAATTATTTTTAGTAAATTTAAATTAGGTTTTGCAAATAATTATGAGTTTAATTTTACTAATTATTTAAGTAAATTTATAGCATTAAGTGATTAGTTAACTTATATTCGTTAGTATTTAAATTAAAAATTGAATTGAATTTTTTATATTACAGTAAATAATTATTATGTCATTTAGAATAAAAGACGGATGCTCAATGTTTTTCAAGCAACTGAGTACTTCGTTAACCCAAAAAAAATAATAATAATAATTTTATAAATTATATTATTATTTTTTACAACTGGTAATCAGATTAAATTTTTATCATATTCTAACTAATATTTCACGAAGTATATTTTATATAACAGATATTTAGAGTTAAAAGGTAAAAATTTAAAAATATAAACTATAATATTGTATTAATTGTTTAATTTAAAATTAATTTACCATAAATAAGAAGTATAGGAGAGAAAATAAAATAAAAAACTTATAAAAAATGAAAAGTGGGACATTTTACTCCTTCTCTCGTCGTCTTTCGTCTAATCCGTAGCTATCCACGGAGTCTCTCTCTCCCTCGAGTCGCACACTCTACCGCCTCATTCTCGGCGGCTATTTCTCGGCTTCGTCACCGGACACTTCCAACGATCACTCCGTCCACAACCTCCGGTTCGTTCTCATTCTCCATCGCTCCTTCTCTCTTCCTTCATTTTGTTCAATTTCTTGTTCCCCGCACCTCCGCGTGACCTATTATTCATTGCCCTCTGCATTTTGGTACCGAATCAGAAAGTAGGTTTCATTATCATTTTCGCAATTTATACATCTGTCATTCGAATCACATTCAGGTTGTTGAGTCCTCATTCTAGCCATAGTTTTGATTTGAGGAACAGAAAATGAGTTGGCTTTCCGGAACAGTATTATCGGTATGTGCATGTGCATCACTCTCCACTCCGTTGCCTCCGGCTCGCACTTTCGAACTCAATTCCAATTCCGATTCGATTTCATTTTCATGGCTTTCTTCATTTCCAACGTTATCTTGCTCGGCTAAAAACCCTCCCAAACCCTCACGCTCCCAGGTAACAAACAACTCATCCCCTACTTTTCTCTTTCTTTTATTATTTATTTATTAGTATCTTTTTAATTCTATTCCAAGTTTAATCTTGGAATACGAATCATTGCTTAATTAACAAATCCTATTGCCACATTCATGATCACATATCTGTCTCTGATTTGATGTCACAAGGAATGGGGTGAGATGAGATGGGAATGAATACATTCATTTTTTTTCCACCTTCTTCTGTTAGATTAGAGTAATACAGCAAGGCTATTTCAGAAAATTATTGCTGTTATTATTAATCAATTAAAAAACATTGTAGAATGAGGACCCTATCCTACGCTTAATCCATTCTGAGCAATGAGCTTCTGTTATTGTGGTTTTGAATTTTGAAATCTGAACATTTGACGTGAAGAAAACAATTGATGCTCTGAGTATTTTTTTCCTTGACATTTGTAGGATTCTTTCATTCAAGCTGCCTTCACCCGAAGATCTCGTGGAGAAGCTGCAAAGAAACCTAACAGGAAATCATGGAAGCAGAGGACAGATATGTACATGAGACCATTTTTATTAAATGTTTTCTTCTCAAAAAGATTTATTCATGCAAAAGTGGTACACCGTGGAACAAGCAAAGTCATATGTGTCGCTACCACAAACGCCAAGGATCTGCGAAATTCCCTTCCATCTTTGATAGATCATAACGCTTGTAGAGTAGTTGGAAGGCTTCTTGCTCAGCGATCAATGGAAGCTGATGTGTACGCAGTGGCCTATGAACCCAGAAAGGATGAGAGGATTGAAGGTAGACTAGGGATCGTTCTTGATACTCTTAAGGAAAATGGGATTATTTTTGTTTGACTTCATTTCCCCTCAACTTAGGCTGTTGTTTATTGTACGACTCTGTAACATATGTAATGTCATTGTTTATGGTTCATTTCTGCATTAATTTGCTAGTTGATGATGGATTAAAATTTTGCCCTTTTTTGTTTGAGTTATGTTTAGTTTCTAGGACTTTTAATGTCCAAACAAAGTGCAGGCGTCACACTAATGTCACTTCTGTAAAATTAGTTTATATCTAATCCTTTTTCGTATAGCTATATATTCACATGAAATAAAAACTAGACTCCATATTCACTTTTAGCAGCAGAAGGATTTACTGCAAACTTATAAATGTCGATGTTAATATACATAATTTGCTAACATATGAACAACGGGGATGATTTCAGACTTTCACAAAGTTCAAATAATTAATTTCAAGTGCATGTAGACTATGGATCTTGGATTTCTTGGACAAACCTCATATACTCCAAAATAAACATATAGATTAAAAAAAATATGAATAACGTGAAGTCGTTTTGCGTTTATTTTTTAAGACAACCATGCGCCACCTTTTATAAATGGTTTTTACCAACTATTTTTTTTAAGGTTTTTGACATAAAAAAAAAAATCAAATATACGAAGGGGAAAAAAATAAACTCTTAGGGAACAAATTAATACTCATGAAACAAAAATAAGTATACAAAAACCTTGAAAATATCTTATTAGAGCAACTATTATCTGTTGAACGAAGTTCTATAATGATTTAATCATTTGTATCAAACAAAACTAGTTATATCTAACACCTATTTCAAAAAGTTTTCTAAATTTTATAGGCTTGGAATTGTAAATGCTTTTTTGAGTTTAAGTAGTGTATGTTAAAATATACTTAAAAAGTCTTAAATTTGAAGCCATTATCTCTTTATGTTATTTGAATTCTCACTCAAAATTTAATTTAATTTATAAGATACTTTTATCAAAAGAATAAAATGTTCTTTAATCTATCACTTAGCTAAGAAAACTTAGATATAAATTTTTATATTTGAACAATGTTATTTAATATACATGGGATAGAACTCACAAACATGTGGATAATAGTTACAAGCTCTACCACTGAATTAAAACGACTTGATTCATTGATTTTTATTTTATTTTTTTATCCTAACAATATTAAAAAAATGGCTAAATTTATACAATTTTTTAAACTTTAAAAGATTAGTTTATTAAATTTAAAAATATAAATTTTCACATAAACAAAAAACAAATTTAATTATTTATATCGTTATAGGTTGGATTATGAAAAATACATTTAATTATTTATATTGTCATTATGATACATTCCTGAATTCTACATTGTTTAGGTAGTTTATATATACCTTCTTCTCTCAATCTATCAAGACGTCTTTTAAAAAAATAATTGTGACAGACTAGATTTCCAAAGCGAATAATACATCATACGTGGTAATAGATCCTAATAATGATATCGTAGTGAATAGAAACATTCTTGTTCCTAAACATAATAGTCATTTATGTCAAAAAGTGGATGTTAGAATATACTAAAAGTCTAAAACTTAGAGAAAAGTCTAAAACTTGAAGAGACATGCAACACCTAAATTGTTTACATTTGGAATTATTCATGTTTTTTTAGTTTTAAAAAGTGCATGTTAATTTAATTGTGAACATACAACCATGTCATATGCTAATGTTGACATATGGATCATGGCATATATATTGGTTAAGGAATTAAGGTCCACGGGAACGAGCAACATCAAGGTAGTATATTTATATGCATATTCCAAGATATACACACTTTTATGAGAAGCTCAACTAATAGTCCAAAGGAAGAGGAAATTAGGACAGGATAAGTGAAAGGCAATAGAAGAAGAAGTAAGCAAGTTTCTCAAAGTAGGATTTATCAAAGAAGTGCACTATACAATGTGGCTAGACAATGTGGTCTTGGTCAATAAACCAAATTGGCAGTGGCACATGTGGTATCGACTACACCGACTTAAATAAAGTTTGCCTCAAAGATGCATATGTTCTCCCAAATATTGATCACTTGGTTGATAGTGTCGCTAGACACAAAATCTTAACTTTCCTTGATGCTTACTCTGCATACAACCAAATCTGAATGCACCAGTAAGATGTTGAAAAAATTATGTCCATGACATCCTCCGTCAATTATGAGGTGATGTCATTTCACCTTAAGAATGTTGATGCAACCTATCAAAGGTTGATGTATAAGATATTTAAGGAATTGATAGAAAAATTATTGAGGTTTATATTAACAATAAGGTAGTAAAGTCAGATATTTGTCAGTAATACTTAGCAAACCTTGATGAAATATTCTCGACATGACGAAAATATAACATGAGGCTTAACCCCGAAAAGTGTGCTTCGGAGTGGAAAATGGAAATTCTTAGGTTCTAGGCTAACCATTGGGGAATCAAAGTCAATCCGGACAAATGTCATGCAATAATTGAGATGAGAAGCCCCAAAAACTTGAAAGAGGTACAAGATTTAGTTAGGAGACTAACGTCCCTATCCAAGTTCATATCCAAGTTAGCAGAGAAAGCGAAGTCCATCATCCAACTAATGAAGAAGTCACGAAGTTTTAATTAGAGTGAATAATGTGAATTGGTATTCCTAAGCATTAAGGAATTCTTATCTGCACCGCCGATCCTTCATAAGTCAATCCTCGACCTACCATTGTTATTATATCTCATTATATCTGAGATTGTGATTAGTGTTGTGTTGGTCCAATAAGTACAAGGTGAAAAATAGCCAGTATACTATGTTAGTTGCATCCTCCATGAACCAGAAACGTGTTATCAAATGATTGAAAAAGTAGAATTGGTTGTAACAATAGTCAGAAGATGACTCATATAATACTTCCAAAGTCACATATAATTGTCTAAACTGATTACCCCATTGTGAAGGTATTGAAGAAAGTTGAGCTCATTGAGAGAATGATTACATGGGTCATTAAGTTATTCTAGCTCAACATACAATATGAATTAAGGGGACCAATCAAAGCCCAATGTCTCGCTGACTTTGTCAACTAGTTTAGACTAGATGTGCAACTTGAAGTTAATGGTAGACATTATACACAGATGTATCTTCCAACTAGAAGGATGGAGGCGCCAAAATAGTCTTGGAAGGGCCTAGGAACCTACTTATTGAATAGTCCCTAACTTCAAGGTTTTTAACAACCATGCAGAATATGAGGCCTTCATTGTTGGACTACCACTTGCAAAGGAAATAGGGCAACGTGAGTAGAATGTCAAATAGATTCCTACCTTACTGTCAGACATATTTTGGGGGAGTTTTCGATCGATTAAAGATCCCTTATTGTTGAGATATTACCAATGTGTTATCAACTTGTTAGTTGAGTTTCAAGACAAGAAAATCTTGCACATTCATAAAGAAGACAATGTGAACGTCGATTTGCTCTCCAAACTTGCAAATACCAAAAGAAAGGAGCATACAAAATGATAATTTATCAAATACTAAAATGTCAGTTGATAGATAAACCCGAATGCTTCATCACCTTTGACGAAGTTAACTAGATGACATCGATAATAGAGTACTTGCGAGATGGAACACTACCAACAAGCGACACAGAGATCCAAAACATAAAGAGGTTGTCTTCATGATATGTGCTCCTTGGCACAACGCTATGCCGATGAATATTCATCACACCCATGTAAAAATGCATCCCCTCTTCACAAACTGAGTACATTTTAAATGAACTCCGCAATAGCATGTGTGGGCTTCATTTGAGGGCAAAACAATAGTTAGAATCTTCAATTCTAGCTAGAGCTATCAAAACGGGTTGTCCAACCCAACCTAAGTTGGCTGGCTTCACAGGCTAAGTGAAAAAACTTAGATTGTCTAGTCGGACCTATATTTTAAAATGAGTCAAAAGTTTTAGCCTAGTTTGACCCTATGTTATATATAAATAAAAATATATTTTAAAAATTTTAAATTCATTAATGAAATTAATTTTTTAAGATATAATGATTTAATATATAAATTATAAGATAATACTTCATTCAATCTCAAAATAAGAATTAAAAACTTAATATTTATTATCATTATTTATTTTAAGTAATTTATTAATTTAAAATAATAATTAATCTTAATCATTAGATATTGGAATAAGTGATTATTAGATATTTATTTTGATATTTATTCTTAAAATAAGTGAATTCTTGTCAAATTAATTTATAATACATATATATTTTTAATAAAATAATATTTTTATTTTTATTTAAAAAGTAATTATTATTCTATTAAAAAATAATGATTATTCTATAAAATAGACTTGATTCAATTTAGACCACAAATTTTTTTGTCTAATCTAACCTATTTCTCATATCTTTCGAGACGATCAATCGGGTTAAGTCTATTTTGACACCAGTAATTTTGGCTACTTCTAGCCAACCATACAAAAATATTAAGTCGAGTACATTAAAAAATGCAAGAAATGTCATTGTCATGATAATTATCCCATGTGTTCCAAAAAAAACTACATAGCCATGGGGCATGGACAATGTCAATCCAATTCCCCCCACCAAGGAACAATGTAGGTTTATTTTTGTATCTTTCAACTAGGCATGGCAACGGGCGGGCGAGGCGGGTTTTGCCTCCCGATCCCCACCCCGACTTTTTAACAATCCCAGTCCCGCCCCGATCCCCCGCGGGGCTAGAAATTAAGTCCCCGTCCCGCTGGGTTTCGGGTTCCCACCCCGTCCCGTCCCGATCTATATTATTTTTAAAAAGATAATTACATTTATAATAAATTAATTTTACTATGTATTTTTATATATAAATAAATATTTACAATTTATAATGATTATTAATTAAATATATATTTTAATTTATTATATTTATATTAAAATATATATGTAAAAAAATATTTAATCATTTTTTATTTATATATATATCTAATATTTATAACATTATTATTATTATTATTATTATTATTATTATTATTATTATTATAACATTGTATTCAAATATTTGAATATTTATAACATTATTATTATAATATTGTATTCAAACATTTGATTATATGTATAAGTTAATTCATTTTTAAGTTTCATTTAAAAATATGAAATATATAGTTTATAAGGAAATATTTAATAAGTTAATTCTTATTTAATTAGTTTGAAGTAATAAAAGTTTAAATTATTAATTCCTTTTAATCCTTTAAAATACAAATATTTTATTAAGATAAAATTTGATATATGATAAATAAGCATAATAAGATAAAAAAATATGACATAATAAAACATAATAAATATAAATTATAAATAAACTAATATTAGTTACTACTAAGATTTATGTAAAATATTTAGAAAAAGATAAGGAAGAAAAAAAATTAACTTTGTGTTCATTAAATTGGTTGAAAAGATTAAAAAAAAAACAAATTGATGGGAGAGATTAAGGAAATGTGAAAAACTGAAAGATAAGAGAGAGAATAATATAATAAATTAATTTATATAAAAGATTGAAAAAGATAAAAAAAATTAAAAAGTGGGTAGAAGAAAAATAAAAATTGGTGAAATATAAAAAAATAACCTTATATGTAATAGAAAAAGAAAATAAAATACTTTTAAAATATTAATATTTAAAAATTTAAATTTAAATATAAAGTTGGGGCGGGGACGGGGTCGAGGTGGGGATTACATTACCCATCCCCATCCCCGCCCCGCCCCGACTTTTAAAGCGGGAAAACCCGAACCCAGACCCGGTCAACTCGGGTTTTTCCTGTCAAACTCGGGGCGGAGACGAGTCGATCCCCACGGGTACGGGTTTAATTGTCATCCCTACTTTCAACTATTTCACAAAGCGGATTGAAACAAAATTCTTGGTCACGATCATAACTCAACAAGTACAAAAAATTGTGTGGAAGAACATCATATCAGGATACCTTATATAATCATCACAAACAATGGATGATAATTTACCAAAAAAGGCTTGACAAAATACTTTAAAACAAGTTGAACACTATCATCATCATTAACACTCAAAGAGTCGATGCCCCTACCTCCAACCACATTGTCCTTATTGGATGTCAATGACATAGAGTGACTAGTATCCCTCGTTATAACAAGCATCAACCTCTCACTCCTTCTGAACAAACTCACAAGAAAACTCTTTAATCATTGAAAAAGATAACGAAAACATCCCTTATCTTGTAACTCGCAAACAACAATGCAAACTCTCTCAAAAAATGATACTACAAATCGTATGCTTAAGTATACTTGAAGCTAAAAACAATGTATGGTCCCAGAGAGACCCGTCACCTACTTATAAGCTACACATGTGCACAAACCCCAATGTCGAATGCCCTAAGTGATACGATCTTATCAATCTCATAGCTGCAATTGTGACTTATATGCCAAATGTCATATAAAAAGGGTTTTTCTACCAAAATGACACCTTCGAATACCTTCTAGAAGGCTCCCAACTCGTAGAGTCTCCTTTATCACGCTCTTCATCATATACATTCCTCAAACCTAAGGGCCTGGTAGGTAGGACGAGTCGAAAGAATATCAGCTGAAGATAATGGAAACTTTCTTTTTAGAACTTTCAATTTCTCCATTGCCTAAAACTCCCCCAAACTTGGGGGACCAATGTACTTTGAGCATACGGACCTTGCCATGTGATACTGTAGACATTGGATCAAGGCACATACATTGTAGCTACACAACTAGGGTAGCATATTGGAGACACATAACTAAAAGCAAAAAGGTTAAGGAATCAAGACCCACGGGAATGAGGCCCATTGAGGTAGTATAAATAGATCCAGATTCTAAGGTATGCACACATTATTTTTATCACATTTTATTTGTCAAATCCTAAACCCTTGTTAAGTAAAACGTTGAAATGTCTCTTGCAGGCATACTAACAACATCCTCGTTAGAGAACCCACCATCATAGTGTACATTGTAGCTACACAACTAAGGTAGCATACTTGAGACACGTGCCCAAAAGCAAAAAGGTTAAGGAATCAAGACCCATGAGGATGAGGACCAAAAGCAAAAAAGTTACTTGCAGGCATACTGACAACATCCTCATTAAAGAGTCCATCATTAGAGTGTACATTGTAACTACACAACTAGAGTAGCATACTAGAAACACGTAACCAAAAGCTAAAAGGTTAAGGAATCAAGACCCATGAGGATGAGACCCGTCGAGGTAGTATAAATAGATGCAAATTCTAAGGTATGCACACATTGTTTTTATCACATTTTATTTGTCAAATCCTAAACCCTTGTTAGAGAGCACGCCATCAGAGTGTTATCAAAAGTAGAAAAAAAAAATAGAGCTGAAAAAGTAAATTTGGTGATATTAATTTTTAAATATTTTATTAATCACTTAATTATGTGGATTGAACCCACAATCACATGGTTAAAAGTCATGCACTCTACCACTGAGTTAAGATGACCTAATTAAAAAATGATTTACATAATTAAAAATTACTACAATTATATATTTTTTGGTTATGTGTATTTGAATCTTAATCATTAGTAATCAATGATACGCTTATATTGACGAGATTATTATTGTTGTAATTAGATAAGTAGTATCAAATACGAAATTATAAAGATTAAAAGTGATACGAGTTATAATTGTACGTACTTAGAAAGTACTAATAATTATGAAAGTAATAGTAATTATATGTACTTGCAAATAACTAAAACTTAGCAACAATGTAATAATTTGATATAATGTTGTAGTTGTCTTTGACCTCTAAAAGGAAATTGAATCTTTTGCACAATTGAAAAATTGAGGCAGTTAAATTTTATTAAAATAATTTAACACTCGGGATATTATAAGATGAAACCATAATCATAATAATAATAATAATAATAATAATAATAATAATATATTTAAAATAGATTAATAATTAAGATGGTTTAATTCATAAATATTTGAAGTTAAAAAAATATTAATAATAAAAACTAAATTTATATATTTTTAGCTTTCAAAAAACAAATATTAATGATAATTTATTGATAAAAATAAAATTAATAAGGCTAAAATGAAAATGTGGCTTGAATAAGTAAATATATGATAAACTCATTTTATTAATAACTTATTTATATATTTCATATATATTTAGTATATTTAATTAACTAATTATTAATTTTTTAAGTATAATTTTTATAAAAATAAAAAAATTATTTTGTATCAATATTTATACATTTTAACTATTTTTTTTTAAATTATAAATTAAAGAAAAATGTAAATGTTTATTTTGAGAAATTTCACTTAACGAATTATTTGGAAACTCGCTGATTTTAAGAATAATATTCAATTAACTAATTTAATTGTCGATTTTGCTAAGTGACCATAGAAGTCGCACAAGAAATATGTCACATAATTTTTATTATAGAAGCACAATTCAAGATCGAAATGATGTAACTCGGATAATTATAGGTCTTGTGTGTAGTACACACAATTGTTGTTGTATAAATAACCATTTGAAAACCAAAAATCATAAGTTATCTTTAAGATTGTTTCACTTAGGAGTTGAATTTTGATTTTCTCTCTTTTCCACTTCATGTTCATGAGGTCGTTCCTCTTCCATAATTCTTGTGCTTCTAGTACCGATCATGTTATCAATTTAAGATATTTTAGATTAGATTTGTTTCTTCCTTCTTTATATCTTCCATTTAATTTTTGTTTCTCTTCTCTTAAATGTTATTTTGCGTTTTTTATTCATTTTAAGGTTGATTTACCGATAAAAACTTGTTTTCTATGATTTATATTTGATTCTTAACAATTTTAACCAGTTCTAATTATTACAATCAATGTAATTCAAGTTATTTGATCGGATACTTTTTTATTTCACAATTAAATTTATAGGTTTAAGTGATTTGAGATTTGAGATATGTTTGCTTACTTTAATTGGATTATAATTATTTGAAACTATTGGAAATTTGTTATTGTGATGATAAGACATATTTTATAAATATATTGTAATCATGTTAACAAGTTTATTAGTTTCTAATTCTATTTTTATTGCATTTTATAAAGTATATTTACATATTTTTCTTTAATTGTTTTCCTTTAAATGTTTTCATAGAATAAGATTTATCACATTTATTTTAAAAGCTTTCCTATATTATATTTTTCATTTACTGATTGCTTTTTACTTACCTTTTTTTAATTATTGCTTTCTTTAAGTGTTTTGATTTACTGCTTTTTCTTATATAAGTTTTTTATTTTTCTTAGGAATATAGTTTTATTGATTTTACTTCAAATTTTCCCCATTTTCTAGCATTGATAAATTAAAATCAAGACACATTAATCATTTATCTTAAGGACACAATCATAATTACATTTTTTCTATTCCAAGTTCTTTGATAACATTTAGAAACAAAAAAAAAAACTAAACAAAAGATATATAAATAAATATTTTAAAAAATGTATGAATAGTAATTTTAGGTAAAATATATGGTAAAGAAGAGTCTACTCAAGTTATTCATGTATGAGAAATATATGTGATATCTCTTTAAGAAGTTTATCCTTGAAGACAATGCCCTTGTAATTTTTGCTAAGATGGAAGAAAAGGATTATTTTTTTTAATAATAGCTAAACCTTTTTTATGCACCATACGAAAGAAACAAGTTTTTTTTTCCTCTTTTCCAATTCCTTGTTTTCTCGTATTCTTCTTCGCAATCCAAGGTAACTTCATTGTAAATTATATATTCCATTTCATCTTCAACTTCTAATTTTTCTCCAATAGCCAAGTTCTTCTTATTTGTATTTTGGGGAGGAACATCTACTTTTAAAGCCCTTCTTCTTCGTTTATTTTGTATTTTAGTTTCATCATTGAGTTAATTGGAGTTTATTCCAAACCTTAATTATAATTTTGTGAATTTTCTTCAAAAATTCATAATTACATTGTTTCAGTCATAACAAAATTGATATTTTTTTATTGAAATTCATCAAATGAATTCATAAGATAACCTAGACTTAAACTAAAAAACTAAATTTCTCACTATTTTAGTTTGTAACTAATATGAGATATTTAGTGATCAAAATTTCAATCTTATATCTAAATATTAATATTATCTAAAACACATAATGATTAAAACAAGTTTTTTTTCATATCATTTTGAACTATATATTTTGATTTTGTAGAGTACTATGAGTGAGAGAATAATTTATTATTTATTGAAAATTATGTGTTAGATAATTATGTGTTACGAAAGAATAATAATTTTTCATATTATTGTTGTTTAATGCATGGCAACGGGCGGGCGGGCGGGTTTTGCCTCCCGATCCCCGCCTCCGACTTTTTAATTATCCCCGTCCCGCCCCGATCTCCATGGGTTAGAAATTAAGTCTTCATCTTCGTCCCACTGGGTTTCGGGTTCCAGCCTCGCCTCGCCCGTCCAGTCCCCGATTTATATTATTTTTAAAAAGATAATTACATTTATAATAAATTAATTTTACTATCTATTTTTTATATATAAATAAATATTTATAATTTTATAAATTATAATAATTATTAATTAAATATACATTCTAATTTATTATATTTATATTAAAATATGTATGTGAAAGAAATATTTAATAATTTTTTATTTATAACATTATTATTATAATACTTGTACTCAAACATTTGATTATATATATAAGTTAATTCATTTTTAAGTTGTCATTTAAAAATATGAAATATATAGTTTATAAGAAAATATTTAATAAGTTAATTATTATTCAATTAGTTCAAAGTAATAAAAGTTTAAATTATCAATTTCTTTAATCCTTTAAAATACAATTATTTTATTAAGATAAAATTTGATATATGATAAATAAGAATAATATGATAAAAAAATAACATAATAAAACCTAATAAATATAAATTATAAATAAAATAATATTATTTACTACTAAGATTTATGTAAAATATTTAGAAAAAGACAAAGAATAAAAAAATTAACTTTGTGTTCATCAAATTGATTGAAAAAAAAACAAATTGATGGGAGAGATTAAGAAAATGTGAAAAACTCGAAAGGTAAAAGAGAGAATAATGTAATAAATTAATTGATATAAAAGATTAAAAAAGACAAAAAAATTAAAAAATAGGTATAAGAAAAATAAAAATTGGTGAAATATAAAAAAATGACCTTATATGTAATAGAAAAAAAAGAAAATACTTTTAAAATATTAATATTTTAAAATTTAAATTTAAATATAAAGTCGGGCGCGGGAACGGGCCGGGTCGGGTGGGGATTGCATTACCCATCCCCGCCTCCGCCCCGACTTTTTAAAGCGGGAAAACCCGAACCCGCCTCGCCTCGTCCCGGTCAACTCGGGTTTTCCCGTCAAACTCGGGATGGAGACGGGTTGATCACCACGGGGACGGGTTTAATTGGCATCCCTAGATAGATGTAACTTTCAACTGTCTATATTATAATTATTTAAATGTTTATATATTTATATAATTAAAATAGAGGAACGGAGGATAAAGATAAAAAAAAATTAGGAAAATGAAAAGAGAATAAAAAAAAGGAAAAAAAGACTGAACGAGAAGAGAAAATAATAATTCATATGACATAAAGGAATATATTATTATATAAATGATTGTAAATTTTATTTAATGTAATTTTGGAGTAATAAAAAAATCTATAATTATCGTAGCGAAATAAATAATTAAATAAACACTTTTAATTGAAAAAACTGTCTATAATTGTAACTAAACAGAAGTATTTTTTAAGAGTTACTTATTAGTAAACATTTTTTTTTCAAAATTACTTTATTATTAAGCTTAAACAAACTCATCTATTACCACCTAAAAAACTGGTCATATTTTTTTAATATGTAATTGAATATGATTTTTTTTTTTATAACTTCTTTGAAAATACTATTTAACAATCCCATATTCTCATCTATTACCACCTAAAAAACTGGTGATATTTTTTTAATATGTAATTGAATATGTTTTTTTTTTATAACTTCTTTGAAAATACTATTTAACAATCCCATATTTTATATTAATGGTTACTCTGTAACATGTTTGATTTTACCGGTTTATTTATAATTTTAATCTCAATATGTTATTGTTTTGAATGTAAATATAATTTGTTAATCTTAAATATAACTCTCTCTATATAAATGTGTAAAACTGTTCAATTTTTTTTTCCGTATATTTTACTCTCATTTTATATAGAAAAAAATTCAGCATTCCTGAATTAATGAAAAAATTAAAGTATAATTAGGATATATAAGAATATTTATTATTTTATTTTTATAAAATAATTTCTATAAAAAATATCTAAGTCTTTGATAAAGAATATTTTTCTAATATAAAATGATTTTATTTTACTATCTAATTATATAAAAATAATAAAATAATATTTCTAATATTTTTCTATATAACAAATATTTTGAATACAAGTCGATGATATGAAACGATGTGAAAAATTTGACCCTA